GCATTTTCATCTTCTCAAACGCCTGATTCATCTTATCCATTTTTCTGCTAATAATTCACGATGGGCTTCCTTTAGAAGACGAGATTATCCCAGATTTAAGGTGCTTCGTTTATGGGGAGAGATGGGTTTTGCTATTCATGTCTGGTAGATCTGAAATTCATGATAAAGAAAAGATTTTTGATTAATGCTGCAAACACCAACTGGGGCCTGAGAGAGATGAGCTTCAGCTACAAGCAAAGCCCTGCACCAACAAGGTGGGATTTACACCACGACCCTTGTAAACTTGGAAATTTGCCTCTGGACCCTTAAGATTTCATATATTCCAAACCATACTCTATTCTCTATTTAGATTTTAGATAACTAGAATAAAACGTTTCAATTTTGATCGATTTTTTTTTTCCCCGATATTTATCTCCCCCTTACATATAAGCAAAAATGTAAGGGGTTTAGAGCGCGACACGTGTCAAATTATTGGACAAAAATAACCCTGCTTTTGACCTGTTTTTTACATGTGCTGCCATTGCATTTACCTGCTTTTCGCCTTTTTCTTTCTTTATCCGAAATTTCCGCACACGCAATGGGATTTGACGGGAGCAGGTAAACATTTCATTTCTCAATTCTCCCCGCTACCATACCAGTTCACAAACCCTACCAAAGCTCTGCTTTCCCAACTCTCTCTGCCAGTCCTCAAACCTTAACCTCTCTCTAACAAACGCTACTTCTGCTCTCCGCCTTCGACGGCAGCCCGCAGACAGACGATGCTTCCCAAAATCCAGAAATAGACTGCTAACGTTGTTTGAAAAAAAAAATTCTCTGATGCAGCAGAAATAGGCGACTTCAGGCAGATGACGAGCAGCGACAACAACAACTATGAGCGGTCCACCCAGCCCTGAATGTTCACAAGCGGCAGTCGTTGTGCCTATGTTTCAAGTATGACGATGGATTAGGTTTAAATATTATATTTTTGTCCTTATTTCGGCCAGATATTTCAACGAACATAAACATTTCTCTCCCGATCTGTAGACTCTCTCACCGCCGCTACCACTCAGCACTTCCGTCATCCTCGGATCATCTCTAAAGATTCCTGGTGAACGTGCTCGCCAATATATGCCGCCTCCGGCAAGCGACGTGTCTGATTTTACCGACATAGATGAATAGGCACGCGGTGAAGATCAGGGATTATGAGGGGTTGAGAGGATCAATTGCAGGTTGTAATTTTTTATTTTATTTTATTGTTCTTCCACAAATTCGCAGTAAGAGTTTGTTGAAACTCAGAATATCAAGGATTAAGTTACATAAGAATCAAAGAAGGTTCCTCAACTGCACGTTGGCTGTCAGATTTTTTACCATCTGCACACGCCATTCAGAGAAGAAAACACGTGAAGCCCTAAAATTGTCTCCCATTTTTTTATCAGCTCTTGATGTTGTAGCGTCTCGCAACTTCTCCTCCGGTGGTTTACAGCCCACCGCCACTGTCAATCTCGATGCCTCTTGCTGCGTGGCGGAGCCACCGTGCTTCTGTCTAGAAAGCTTGCGGTTAGAGCTGCTTGAACTGAGTCCAAATGGGTCTCTCTCAGATTAGGGCGCCCGATTTTGAGGTATATTTTATAGAAAGAGATTGAAGAAAATTCTATACGATCTTCAACCTAACCCTAGCCCTCTCTATTTTCTCCTTTCTAAACAAAAAGCACAATCGATTTTATTTTCAAAATTATGGTAAGGGAGAACAACAAATTCGAGAAGGAGCTAATTCAATAGATTTTATTTCCAAAATTGTGGTAAGGAGAACAACAAATTTGAGATGGAGTTAATTCTGCAGTCAACAGCTAGCGTTCGTGGCTTTAACCTGAGGTGGCAGTTTGTCCTCATGTGGAGCCAGATGGCGACCTCCAAAAGTACCAGTAGGAGAAGCGCTATCTAGAGACAAACAATGAGGTAGTGGTCGAAGAGTACATTGCCTGTTGTTCGTGATGTCGTGGGCAAAAGAGATCAGGGAGAAAGACCAGGCAGTGAATATGTACACGAGAGACTTCTCCCTCGACGACAACGACGAAGATGGCGGCGAATGGAAAAGGCATCGAGGGTGCTTTAATCTGGACAATCCGACAATTTTAGAGATTCTGGCCATGGATCCATAGCTCGAAGGTGAAATTCTGCCTGTAATCAAGAATTATTACGACACTCAGTCTGCTTTGTTGTTTTAAGTTCTTGGAAAGTAATGTCAACAATTTATGTGTGTGTGTGTGTGTGTGATTTTAATGATGGTGGATTTGTGTTTGAGCAGGCGAGAGAGATCTCGAGATGGGCATCAACATCAAGCCGCCGTGCTGGTGGTGTGGCCCTCAGGGAAGAACCCGGTGGTCTCCATTTAACTAATGTCGTCACCACAATTTCGGCCCTCTCTCGGGCCCGGGCGAGCCCAGCCATTCGATCTCCTGAGAATGGTGCTCCAGATTTCTGGTTCGACTTTTCCCATTATAGTTAATGGAAATACATGCTTAATTACTCGATTTCTCGTTTCTACTACAACAATTTTTTTTATAAAAACATTTTTTTCTTTTTTTTGTGCAGCTTTTTTTTCAGTGTGCAACTGTCGAGTTCAATGGCCAAAAGAGAGTCCTATTGATAGGTGGTGTTATAACTAACTTCATTGGTGTGACTGCCACTTCCAATGGTATCATTCAAGCCCTAAGAGAAAAGGTAACCGGGAAGATATATTTATGTTCCCACAAAAGATGAAAAGATAAGAAAAGTGAACCAATTTTTGCAGTAAAAAACTGGATATTCTACGGCTCTGAGGCCAAGCGAATATTGGATGACGGTTCATGATGAAGGCCCGCTCGTGGACGGCAGCCACCCAAATGTGGATGTTGTAGATTCTGGGTTGAGGGCCTGCGTTGGGTATTGCTACTTTTGGAAGTCAATTTTTTTATAATTCGATCGGAGAAAATGGGAGTTCTTCGCCTACATTTGAGGGCCTGTAGGTTGATATCACTATCTTTATTTTATACTATGATTTTTTCTTTTCAATCATTACATAATCTGTTGAAAACGCAAGCTCAGAGCAAGAGCCCTGCAAAAACCGGCAATAACACCTGATGTTATTCGCTCTGTATATCATGCAAAAGTGTAGCTGTTGCTTATTCTCATAGAGGGTCTAGAACTAGAAATTATTCTTCAAATGATCCACGACAGCATTCCATTAAGCTTTTGTAGCAGTTCTTTGAACATAGTTTTCTGGATAGGAAGTATTTGTATATGTGATTCCTTTTTAGCTGCTTTTCTCCTGTCAGCTAAAAGAACCGAGTGAAGACTTGAAAAGAAGTCTTCTATCAGTTGCTTTACTTTGTGTTAATTAGTTGTGAAATGCGATATATTTGAACCCTCTTCAATGCAATGCTATGTGATCCTTGTTGTTACCTAAAGAACAGAGTGTAGGTACAGTTTTTCGACAATTAAAGGAGTCAAAACCGTGCAAGTTTAAATGAATTTGGAGATTCTGAAGAGCATCAAATGTTTGTAGAGATAAAAAAAATAAAACATATTTTATTGCTCATGTCCATTTATGTCCGGGTGCATCTGAGACTATTTATCTC